TAATATATAATCAAAATTAATCAAAATTAATTTTAATTTTGCCATGTTAGCCAGAGCAAGCATTACTATGTGCACACACAATTGTCCTGGTTAGTCAACACATTTTACTAGTGCTGACAAAGGAAAAAAAAGACACCCGTACCTTGGATAAACTACTTAGGGGAAACATCTACATGAGATGTTTGCTGTGGTTGTCTAAGTAGCTCCACAGTGAAGTCTCAGCGTCTATGGTGCGGTCATATTAGGCTGCAGTAAACTAAAAAACGCCACCATAGGTTACCACTTGTAAACACAAGTCCTATCCTGTGGCAACATTATTTAGTGCATCACAAAGTACATGTAGATGCTGACAGGACTTGCTACCAGCTGCTGTTGCTAGCCCTGCACTGGAGTACCCTCATGCTCCAGCCAGTCCCTCTACAGCACATTGAACCAGGTCAGAGCAGCCCTGGGCTGGCAGGCTGAACCCCCAGGTCCCCTGCCAGCTGGGGCTGCTCTGACCCAGCAAAATGTGCTGCAGTCCCAGGTGAATGTGTAAATGTGGCACCTGGGAGCAATAAACTCCAATGCAAACTGAACTGGAGTTTATTCAATCATATTAATAGCACGTGTAGACATGCCCAGAGATCCAGTACTAATACGAGCTGAAGCTTATAACACAAAGAGCAGCTATATATACAGCTAGAGTAGTTTAATTCTTAAACTCCAACAAATCATCATTCCAGGCATACGGGAAGAAAGACATAGAAGCAGTAGTTTGATTGGGTTATAACATTATTAACTCATCTGGTGATTATCCAGTGATAACTTTTGGAATGCAAGTCATGATCTTTCCTTAACCGTTTGCTATTAGTTTCTCCCTCCTCCACAGCTGGTCACCTAGTCTGCTGCTAGGACCCCTCTGCCCTCTCTTCAGATGAAGGGCAAGGGGTTGAGGAAACATGGCTGTCTCAGCCCTAGTCCTAGCTCCATCTCTGAGTGCCTTTAAAAGATGCCTTTCTTCAGTCAATTTCTAGTTCTAATTTAGCAGGGAACTGACTCCCCATGGAATGAGTATCTGCATTGGACACCAGCACTCACCCCTAGACATGTTCCCAAAGAAACAGCAATTCCATTCCTAGTCCAACATATTTTTGCCTGCCAAAGAGAGTAAAAGGGGTATCAGCTGGTCCCAGACCCTGTCTCTGGTGCCATGCCAACTCATATTTGCCTCAACATAGAAGCCCAGCTGTGAATCCACAGCTGAACTGGCTGCCTGCCAGCAAGCCCAGTGCACAGTACTTTCCCAGCAGAGCCAAACACCTATTCTCATGCCCTGTTTCCTTGTTTCCCATAACATGGCCTTTGACCTGTGCCAGCCTGGAGCTGCTTATCACTGAAGTCCAGCATAAGCTGAGAGAAACCACCTACACATCTGTGGGCCGTGTGAACTGTAACAACTTAAAGCACAGCTGTCCATAGGTTGAGTTTCCAAGTCAATGAAAAAACAAGCATTCAAAGATCAACTTAGCTGTTTTGGCTTTCTTAGGATCTTTTAAATAAATCACAAAGACTACTGAAATGAAAACAACACAAAATGTAACATGGCTCAGCTCCACTGAAATTCCAACTAACCTGCAGGGGAAAGAGAGTAGATAATAAATAGGTCAGACCAGGTTCTTCAGTTCTGCTTCACCTCCTCTGGAGCAAAGTTTCACACTGCTTTACTTAATGTATTTACTTATTTATTATCACTTGTTTGTAGTGACTATGCAGATATTGAAACCAGCACAGAAACTTACCAACTACCAGTACAAAATCACAGGGCAGCAGTGCAGTGTGGCACTTCACAAACAGGTCTGCATTATGCATTACATTCAGTCACCAAACGGCCTCATCCTATAGCCCAATGGACAACCATTCTAAATATCTATCTCCTGTATCTCTATCTTGAGGGACATAGCTATGAAAGACTATGAGAAGATCCAGATCTGAAAGAAACGTACATATTCTCCCTGGCCAGAGCTACTGACTGAATACTGACTGTATGTATTTCCAAATCAATACCATAATTCATCTTTCTATGATTTTCAGCCCTATTCAATATATTCAGCCCTATTCAGACCAACCTGGTGGCCTTTTACGATCAGATCACCAGATCATTAGATGCAGGGGTAGCAGTGGACATAGTCTTCCTGGACTTCCGGAAGGCTTTTGACACTGTCTCTCACCCCGTTCTCATTAAGAAA